AGCCACACATTGAAAAATTTAAAGGGTTTTGGGCCCCAATTGCGTGATTCATCCTTTACCAGAATTGGACAATGATCTGACAGTGTTCTAGGTAACCCCCATTGCTTCAGCTCTGTCCAGTTAAGCAACCATTCCTCCAAGAATAAGAATCTGTCCAAACGGCTCATGCAATTACCATTCGGTTGATACCAAGTGAATTTTCTCCCTATCAGTGGAAGGTCCACCAGCCCACACATCTCAATAAACTCATTAAACTCCCTAAGCTCCCTCCTTACACTGATACCTCTTTTCCTTTCTTGAAGATTTCTAATGGCATTAAAATCTCCAGCTATACACCAGTTCCCTTTGTTGGAACAAATGAGGTTTGATAAATTCTCCCATAAAATTCTTTTATTTACCAGATCACATGAGGAATAAACATTAACCAAATAGCAAGGAATGTTCTCTTCTCCCCAAAACCCCACCACTCCCAGATACCCTGCACCTTCTAAAATGCTAATCTTCTTGAAAACAGTGGAATTCCATATAGTTAAAATTCCTCCTGATGCTCCATTTGCGGGTTGTGCAACCCACTCAAAATTATCTGAGTCCCAGATCATTCTACAGAGCCTTTTATCTACACTCTCCATTTTAGTTTCTTGAATAAACAAAAAATCAACTTTCTGTTTAGCTACTAATTCCCGGATCTCCCTTTTCTTGCCTATCCCCCCTAATCCTCTAATATTAATTGACAATAAAATCATGGAAAATGGGGCATCACCTGGTCTCCTTTTCGGTTCTTTTTTTCTTCCTCCTGTCTCCATCTTGCTTTGTCACGGCTTTCCATGTCTACCAATTTCTGCAGCACTGAAATTTCCTCTGTTTGTGCACTCACTCCGAATTCTTTCACCCGTGACCACAGAGCTTCCATGTTCCTTTTTCTACTTCTCGTTTCAATGCTTTTATTACAATTCTGGATGTTGCTGTCGTTGATCGAATTATCTGCAATTGATTTCTCCAGATCTTTCTCAAACAAGATCTTCTTCTTTGTCTCAACGGCTGATTTTTTCTGCCCTTTGTTTTTCTGTTGAATCAAGAAGCCATCTAATCCCCCGAATTTTCTGTACATTGATGCACAGGACTTTGCTCTTCTCTTTTTCTTTCTTTTCTCGCAGCCATCGTTTCTGTTCATCCATCTTGCTTCTGTGCCTGAGTCACTGCCGAGGTCGTCCCAGAAAGAAATTTCTGATTTCCTGTCCCGTGCTTTGGGTCTGTTGCTTTTATTCTCCTTATGCTTCTTTGGGCCTATGTTTATTGATTCTTGTATATCATCCGGTTGGTCATTTTTCGGCCCAAGCTCCTCCGGAAGGCCCATTCCTTTAGTTGGCAGCCCATCATTTAATCCTTTATCAAATCTTCCTTCCTGTCCGCCTCTCCTGCAGTCTTCTGCTAATAAATCTTTTCTTCTTTGATAAGTCTTGTCATAGCTGCCCATTTTTGCATTTGTAATCAATTGGCTGACAATTTGGAAGTTTCCTGTATCAACTTTATTATTCACCAAATCTGGATCCGTCCAAATCCTTCTTGTTTCTCCCACTCGTTGAAAGTTTGAATTTGAATCAAGGAGCGTCCTTCTGTAATCACCCATACCCTCTGTTTCCTGGACTATCTCGGTTCCAGTGCTTGCTTCCTCGTCCTCGTTCCTTTTGCTGCAAACTGCCTCATCGTTGTGCTTAGCCACCTCAGCTTTTGGACTTGCCATGTTGTTCTCATTTTCATCCCCCATGTTCGGTGAAGCCACCTCATCCCTTTGAGTTGCCACCTCATACTTATTACCATCCCCCATGTTCAGTGATGCCACCTCATCCCCCACCTCAGCCCTTCGAATTGCCACATCATCGTCTTCAATCCCCTGTGACTGTATCACAATATGTTCAAAAATGTTCTCATCGGAATCGGAATGTACCTCATTCTAGTTAGCTGTAGAACTGCTTTCTTCTTCCTCTTCACTGGGTGTATGAAGAGTCCTGTCAGACCTCATGGTAAAGAGATTGTTTGTTGATTCCTCTTCTGTGAACATGAGTGTGAAGAATTCTCCATTGATCTTCACTGTGATAGACTTTGAAATAGATTCCATGGATGGTGTGGATATAAGGAACCTTGCAATGTCCAATCTCTCCTTGCTTATCGTGCTCTCATCTATCATTACAACATTTCCCCATAATCTTCCAAAGGTTTGAAAGGTCTCCGGCTTCCAAGCATGCGCTGGGAGCCCCTGACATCGGATCCAAGCAAATCTCTCCGCTGCGACCACTGTGGGTGTCCATGGCTTCACATCTTCAAACCACTTTCCCAGCCATTCTTTACCAGTATCGACAAGCTCCTTCAGATCCTCATGTTCCTTGGCTTCTAATAACACTAATCTACCTCCCATTGGTCTAATGCTGGTAAAGAAAATTCCTTCCATGTAGAATTTTTCTTGCAGATTAGATATGGAGTTCACCGAGTGCACTGTACCCACAAAGCATTTTTCTAGCCATGCATATTCCTCCAAATCGACGTTCAGCTCCATACCTGACCAGTGCTGCTGTTGGTGTTTCGGTTTCCATTCCCTTTGTTGAGCTCCATAGACGCTAGCGCCATTGTTTCCATGCCGTTGCTCTGTTCCTTCTTTTCTTCTTTCTTGATTCGACCTTTCTTCCATCCTGCTATTTGCTGCTTTAACTACCTCCGCATATGATGGTCTTCTACCATTACCATAAAGGCTTTGTTGTCTCCAATCCCAAGCCTTGGATCGGTTGTTAGAAATCAGTGTTTTTTGACGATCCCACTTGGTATACCTTGGTTTGTTTGCTTGTAGGATCTGACTCCCTATTCTTACTTCATTCAATCTTCTTTCTAAAGCAGCTTCATTCTTCACATCCAGGAACCGAACAAACCCAAATCTTCTACCCAACCTATCCCTCTTCGTCGGGCAATCAATCTCCAGCACCCTTCCAAGTCCTATTCTGTTAAAAGTATGCCACATCTGCTCAAACGACCATTCCTCTGGAAAGTTAGTGAAGTAAAAGGGAACTGCCTGGTTGTATATTCTCTTGTCATAACCTCCCACCTCCGGTTGGAACCGTCCCCTATCCTCGAATCTGAACCTCTCATATGGCTGTGCAATCCGTTTACCTTGTGTTCTTCGTCCCCGAGCTCTCTCTCTCTCTCTACCTCTCATCTCTCTTTTCGTCTTTACTGACAGTTCATAAGCACCACTACTTATATAGGTACAGTCAAGTGTTAGTAGAAAAGAAAATACAAAACAACAAACAGTTAGAAGCATAATTGCTTGGTTTCTACACATGCTATCTGCCAATTTCCTTGGTTAATTTTTTTTTGAAAGGAAAAAAACATTTATTTATCCATTCAGAGTACAAGGGATAGTTTAACCCATGTACATAGCTTTACACAAATCACTCCTTAATGAAAATGTGCTATTTCATTCCCACCTACAGGAGGATGTACCTCCTGTTCTTAATCGTCATAGTAACCGCCCAATTACAGTTTGCCCGTCTTACTTCCCAGCAATGCTTTGGTGCAACCTCTTAGTTTTGTACACCAATCTATAAGAGAGCCATTCAACCCACCTTTTCTTACAGTGATCCAGTTGAACTAGCTCAAAGCTGCTGTCTACACTCATGACAACTCCCTTAAAGACTTGTTCATTTCTACACAGCCATATAGTCCATATGATCAAAAATCAGATGACTGCCCAATACTTTTTCAGTTTCCTGCCTTTCCGCTCCAGATATGTTGTACAAAGGCTTCATTAAATCACAATGTAGCACATAATCTACATTCCACCGCAGCAAGCACCTTGACCACAAAGATTGGGCAAATGTACAAATTAAGCAACAAACGATTTGCCGTTTCTATATCCTTTCCACACAACCCACAGATAGCCTCGTCAGGAGTTTAATAATGCCTTTTCTCATCAAATTATCTTTATTGGGAAGTCTATTAATTAAGCAGTGTTTGCCATGCAAAAGTGCATACCTTACGCTGTACTAAAGGATGCCAGCATTTCTTGAACTTGAGACTTTCCCTGTCAATTGGTGCTCGAGTCAAAAGCTGATATGCCGTCGTCTTTACTGAATATGTGGCATCCTTCTCCATTGTCCAACTCCAGTGATCTTCCTTGTCACGGTCTGGTCTATGTGATTGTAGCAAATCTTGTAGTTGAGTACATAATTCCTCCTTCTAGCTGAATGATTGTTGCCTCCATTTAAGATTCCATTTCCAATTATTATTGTCCCATAATCCCATCTCCCCTTTTGTTTTCTTCTTTTTTTTGATCAGCAAAGTAAATATATTATTAGTAGAGTACAGCGGGTACTCTAAACCCATTACATTACTCATACATAATAGTTCCATTTACAGTAAAAGCTCCCAGAAATATGACCGGGACCTACAACAACAGAAAGTAATCAATCACAAGTTTTTCAAAACATTTGCCTGCCTTTTAGGGTAAGGATCCATCATACTTCTACCAACATCTAACCTTCTTCCATAATATCCATTATGTGCTGAATAGTCTCAAACTCATTGTTGCACTCTCATGTAGCCTTCTTTTGGTTTTGAACACCATTTGTCTTGGACAAGGTTTGAGCATAATGCTATTTTGCACCAAGGAAAGTGGGAATGGTTTTGAATGCCATTTGTCTTGGACAAGGTCTGTGAAGCGTTGTTCCCTCAAGCCCAGATCCACTTTCGCCTACACTAGGAGACTTGCAACTCAAGAAGATCAGTGAAGCTAACAATAATTTCTTAGTCCCCAAATTTTTTATTGAAGAGATAGATGAAGCAGTGTGGGGATGCAATGGAACCAAAAGCTCAGGCCCGAAAGCTTAGGCCTAGATGGTTTTAATTTCAATTTTATTAAGAAGGTCTGGTCAGTTATTAAGGAGGATGTGTATGATTTTTTAGCAGAATTTCACGAAATTGGCAAGCTGGTTAAAGGGAGTGACGCTTCATTTTTAGTCTTGATTCCTAAGAAGGATAATCCTCAAAACCTTGGGGATTACAGGCCAATTACTCTCATTGGCAACATGTACAAAATAGTCTCCAAAATACTTGCTAATAGGCTGAGAAGGGTGTTGGACTTGGTCATACGCTCTAATTAGATAGCTTTTATTCAAGGAAGACAAATAACAGATGGCATAACCATCACCAATGAGATCATTCATGAAGCTAAGCAGTCAAAGAAATCGATGCTGGTGTTCAAAGCAGATTTTGAAAAGGCATATGACAGTATCAACTGGGAGTTCCTTGTTGAAATGATGGAAAAACTAGGTTTCTCAACAAAATGGCGTGCATGGATAAAAGAGTCCCTTTCTTCAGCCACTGTATCTGTAATGATAAATGGTAGTCCCATTAAGGAGTTTACAGTATCGAAAGGATTGAGGTAGGGAGATCCTCTTGCTCCTTTTCTATTTTTAGTGGTTGTAGAAGCCCTTAATGGGTTAATTAGTAAAGCGGCGATGGAGGGATTGTTTAAAGGGGTATCGGTAGGGAAGTTGGAATTGCACATAACTCATCTCCAATTTGTAAATGATTCCATCTTGTTCTATGAGGCTTCAGCTAAAAATGTATGTATGATTAAGGAGTTTTGAATTGCTATTTGGCCTAAAAGTGAATTTCCATAATAGTGCTTTGTATGGATTTAATGTAGATGATGGGAAATTATTGGCTTTAGCTGATAGTTTGAATTGCCTAGCAGGCACGACTCCTTTTAAATACCTGGGTGTGTTGGTTGGGCCAAACCCAAGGAAATTATCTACTTGGAAGCCAATCATTGATTGTTTAAGGAAAAAGCTATCTTCTTGGAGGTGTAATTCACTTTCTTTTGAAGGGCATATCACTTTGCTGAACTCGGTCCTATCATGTATCCCTGTGTATTACTTCTCTTCAATGAAGGCTCCTAAATGGGTACTTAATCTAGTCTCTTGAATCCAACGCAGATTTCTTTGGGGAGGGAATGAAGAAAAGAATAGGATTTCTTGGG